TTTTTTCGTGCAGGCTCAATAAATCTATTTTATTTTATTTTATTTTATTTTATTTTATTTTATTTTATTTTATTTTTTCTCTATAATACTTTTCTTAAATTGTCGTTTCATGTGAGAAGGGTACAACTCACTTTCAATAACATGGGTCTTATTTACAATTTACGGTGACGTAAACTAATTTATTCGAAAATGTGACCTCATCTTCAATTTTTATTTTCAAAATCGAACATTTTTCGTAGAACCGAAAACACCATTATTTCATAAATTAAAGAAAACAGGCGTATTTTTTTTTGTAAAAAAAAAAAAAAAAACGTAAAGAGTTCCACAACCATATATCACATTCCACAGCGTCTCATCGAGCGGATCTGTAACCGGTCACCATCTGTAAAATGATCGTCAATAATAACTGTACCACGCAACAGACAACCCTGTCGCCAGATGCTTCCTGCTTCGTACATAGGCTAATGGTATCTATGTCGTCCAGCTTGCTCCCTTGACCCCGATGGCTGGCTCCTGCTCCAGCCTGGCAGTGGTGGCCGGCCATCCTGGTTTTTCAGGTTCACAAAATGCCACAAGATGGTTCTGGCTTGTTTAAGCACCAGAACATATAGGATAGTCATTCCTGGGTGAAGTGGCCATCATTTGTTGCAATCTTGAATTCAAGAAAAGACACCAATGTTGTGCTTTCTAATATCTGGAGCCTTTGTGAAAGAAACAGGTCTGAAGTGGGTATATTTAGCAGGATGTGTAATAGTCGTTGAAGAAACATTGCTTGTTTTCGTGATTGACTGGGCATTGGCAGTGACACAACAAGATGCTCAAATGCAGGCAAAATGACAACATGCTTTTATTTTGCGCCGGTGGCAAAGGTGCCCTCGTGGTGCCCTCGTGTGTGCCCTTGTAGTCGCTTTCAGGTACAATAGCCTAACAGTTAGGCGCTAGTTTGCACACTCTGTGTCGTAAATACTTTCCCACTCCACTGACTGAATGACGCTGGCACATCAACACTCGGCGCACAAACGCACACAACAGACATGGCCGTCGACGCTGGTGATGTGCCACTTATGGCCAACGGCTCCAACAAGGGCACCGCTGTGCTGGGCAAGATGCATTTCCTGGCGCGCGAGGCCAAGTATGCGCACGAAAAGCCGTACACACTGCGGTACACGCCGGCGCCCGAGAGCGGCCTCCCGCAGACCAACATTGCGCGCGTCGAGCACCCGATCGTGTTCCGCGACTGGCGGGGGCGGACGGACCTGCGGTACGACGAGTGCGGGTTTGGGATGGTGACGCTGGACGACGAGCCCGACGGACGGTTTGGCGAACGGTTGGGCTACGACGACTTCGAGCACAGCGACCGCATCGAAGGCCGGCATGCGCCGCGCGTGCTCGAGGCCGTACGGGCGGCTCTCGGCGCCCAGTCGGCCGAGCTGGTCGACTACGTCGTGCGGCGGCGGCATGCGGCGTGGCCGGTGTCGACGGGCGAGCCGTATGCGTTCCAGCAGCCGGCATCGCGCGCCCACATCGACCATACGCATGCCGGGGCGGTGGCCGTGATCCGGGAAGCACACGGCGCAGAGGCAGAAGCCATCCTGTCGCGACGGTGGCAGCTAGTAAAGTAGGCTCAGCCCTATCCAGGCTTCGTCCAACCCCCCTTCAAATCATCGTGACCTCGCTGACGTTCCCAGCGCTTGGCATCCGCTGCGCGGCCCGTTGGTGGACTGGCCGCTGGCCGTGTGCGATGCGCGCACAGTGGACTTTGCACGCGACACCATGGCGGGCGACGTGGTGGACCGGCACCAGGTGTTTGAGAACACGCAGGTGCACTTTGACGCGCGGCAGGCGTGGTACTACTTGCAGCACCAGATGCCGGACGAGGTCGTCATTTTCAAGAATGCCGACAGCCGCGCGCCCCAGGGGGCGTCGCCGGGCGTACCACATGCAGCGTTCGACAACCCGTTGACGACAGACGACGACGTTCGGCGCGAGAGCATTGAGATGCGCATCCTCGTGGTGTGGTAGGGGGAAAGGGGGGGAGGGGAGTAAGATATCATGCGAGGCAGTGAGGCACTGCCGACGCTGATCATGTATACAGTGCGATGCCGTATGATGTATGATGCTTGACGAAAATAGAACAATAATCATCACTTGGTACATGCTACGGCGTGGCCGCATTCGTACGGTACACAACAACGTGAATCAGTCTGACCACAAGACCGCAATCACATCATGAGCGGGTGAGCAAGGATCAAGATAAATCCGCGGTATTTCACTGCCCGCCAGTCCTGCCATTACTTCCTGTCTGCCTCTCATTTTCGTCTATTGTACAGCAGTCACTCCAATCGTCAAATCATTACCGGTGGTCTCGTGCCTTCGTGATTGTCCGCCCACCCGATACCATCGCTCTCCTCCGTGTCCGTCATTGCCGCACAACACGCACCGTCTTGCGCGAGCTTGGCTTGACGTTGGCCGCCGTGCCGTCCACCACGACCGTGTCGCCCTTGGCCACGCCGTATTCGTTGCCGCTGCTTGTGCTGGCTGCAGTGGCAGTGGCTGCGCCGGGCCAGCTGGCCTTCCACGGCTGCGTCTTTTCGGCGGCCTCGGCGCTCTCGGCGGTAACTCGCGCTGACGGCTTGACATTCGCGGCAGTGCCATCGACGACGGCCAAATCGCCCTTGGCGACGCCGTACTCGACTGGCGGAGTGCTGCTGCCGGAGGCACGCGCCTCGACGGCCGGCCAAGCGGCTTTCCAAGGCTGGATCTTGTCGGCCATTGTGTGGCGAGGAGAGGGGGTGAGAGAGAGACAGCAGGTGTGGGTGTGATGCAGCCGTGGTTGTGCCGTGCACGAGGGACTGTTTGTTGTTTATTGTTTATGTTTGCAGTGTCGAAGTTGGAAGAGCCAGAAGGCATAAATCGCCCACAAGTCCAAACGAGCGAAAGATAACGTTTTATGATAATGCCAATGGCTAGGCTCGGCGTGCATGTTAGCGCAGTCTAGGCCCTCCTCTCCAGTGCCCGATATCGCTAGCGGTGGGAAAAACCGGGGAAAGTCGCCGCCAACTGATAGGGAACCTGGGGAATATTGGCGGCCTGGCGGCATGGAGCGGTGAGACCAGCGGTGACCGCCAGACTGCAGCGCCTGGTAAGACAGCTCTGGCAGCCACGCGACCAGTTATCACGTAAAATAAACTCGACAAATCCACGCCGTTCCTCCATTCTACCCGGCACTTTTACATTTCTAATACAGAGGCGAGATCGTGGTCAACGATAACTGCTCGCGATATAGCTCAATAGCGGGACAGCTGTGCCGCCTCCAAATATAAAAATCGAGCATCGAGACGGATATTTGGCATCGGACCACGACATCGATTCAGACCAACAGACTGCTGGCATCGCCGCCCTGCATGTTTTGTGCTTCTTAATTTTGTGCTGTGCTACTCTTGTTGCTGATAATTAGCTATGCGCATATATGCTGTGCACACTCTGCGGCTTGCTCTGCCTGCGTGCTATGTTGTATTACTCGCTCAACGTGAGAATGCGTAGTTAATCAGTCCACGCCTTTCCGACGGTTCCATGCTTCCCACGATATCCAGCGAATCCAACCATTGCCGACCCATTCGCAGCTCCTGTACCTCCATCTCCATCTGAATTCATATCCTCGGTACTATTATTAGAGTCACCGTTGGCAAACTCACCAACTCTTGCACGAACATCTCCTGAACTTCCAAATGTATGCCAAGATGTGCATATCGCACGTAGAACTTAAAACAAGAGCATGCCCGCCACGGCCAGGCTGAAGAGGGCCACGCCGGCCGCGCTCATGCCGCCCTGGCGCATGCCAGCAGCACCCGACGAAGGCGGGCCCGGGGGGCCGGTTGCGCTGCTCGTGGGGCCGGCGCTCGTCGTCGTGCTCACAAAGCTCGAGGGGCGCGTCGTGGTCGTCGTCTCGGCCGATGTCGTGTGCGAGTGCGGATGCGCGTGCGACGACGTCGGAGGGAGCGTCACCGAGGACGTGGAGTTGACAAACGTCGCGGACGTCGTGGATGTCGTCCGCGTCGAGGCTGTCGAAGACAAAGACACCGGGCCCACCGACGTCGCCTCCGACGTGTGCGTGGGCGTCGTCACAGGTGTCGTCTCGGGCGTAGTCGTCACCACAATGGCCGTCGTCGTGGGTGTCGTAGTGGCCGCCCAGCCGGTCGACGACGGGCCCCAAGCGCCCGTGTCGGATGGACCCCAGGCACCGGAATCGGTCGGGTCCCAGCCAGAACCGCCAGAACCACCAGAGCCACCGTTGGAAGGGCCCCATCCACCAGGGCCGGAGTGGCCCGAGGGACCGCCCCAGGCGCCGCTGTTGGACGGGCCCCAGTCAGACGACGGCCCACCCCAACCAGCAGGACGAGTGCCGGACGGGCCCCAGCCGTTGCCGTTGGGACCCCACGCAGAGTTACCGGGAAGCCCACCGTTGATTGCAGCCATTGTGGTTGTTGTGGAGTGAGTAGACCGACGTGAGAAAAGGTTAAACGTGTGTGAAAAATATAAATCAATCCGCTTGAACGAGTGACTTTTTTGGTGCTTGTGCAAAACGAACGGCTTGGGAGAGCAGTGTACAGAGCGGAAGGTAAAGACAGTGGTGGGAGATGAGAAAGAAAGGTGACGAGGAACGAGAACGAGCGTAAAAGGACAAAGGTCTTCACCTCTGTCTTTTAATACCCAACGACGAAAATGAAAGAGAAGACGACGGCCGACACCGCGCGTTCTAGTGCTTGCTGCCTGGATCCCGGAGCATGTCTCGAATTTCTTGTTTATTTCCCGTGCAGCTGTGGTGAATTGGTTTGCCTATGGTTCCGTGTTTCTGTCCTTTTCGTTGGCCGGTCATGTTTCCTCCTCACCTTTCCCTGCTGCCGCTTCTGCGTATGACACGACACGCACACAGAGCCAACGACTGGTGGGTGCTGGTGGATGTGGTGTGACCGCCGTGAAACAATACAAGGCTAGACACAGGAGAGAGGGTTGGGGAGAAAAGCATTGGATATTCCTTGGTACACTGGCAAATTGCAAGGCTGAACAATACTGTTGCTACGAGCTACATCGCAAAAGAAACGACGAGCATGCTGATGAGCAACAATCACGCAAGCCACGGCCATCTTGTCTGGAAGGATGAGGAGGAACGAAACCTGCAAGGTTGTGTCCGTTCCCCGTGCTGCACACAGCAGAGACAGTTCATGTACCACAAAACCGGAGCATCGCCACTTGGGTTCCGGGATGGCGAGCGCCTCTCTTTGCCCTGGTGCACATGTTGCTCATATAAAATAGCAGGACCAGGGAGCATGCAGCGACCATCCCTGCTTCTTCTTTCTGTTTTCTGTATTTACGTCTCATGACTGTCTGCCGTCTCCGAGTGAACCATATATAGATGACAGAACATACGAAACAGAGGCAGCAGATATGTAAAGAGCAGGGATGGAGGCCGGGCGGGGAGCAAACAGAACCATGGTCGTCCAGAGTCACTTTATATAAATCATATGCATCATTCGCTGCGCCATGCCGCGTCTTTCTTGGATGAAATCGAGTTGGACAGCAGATATTCAGTTATCTTTCAGCTACGGCCTACGGCGACCGAGAGCCAAGACAGGGGCACAAAATAAATACCTGGGAACCAGCAGTCGAAGAGGTAGGTGAATTTCCAGTTGTGCTGCGCGAACGCGTGAACGGTGATTATCTCGGGAAATATGCGTTTCTAGAGTACATGTGAGCGCCTCACAATACTCAATGTGGACAGACATGCAACGAATTTCAATAAACATGATGAAATTACAAAACTGGCCATATATGATGGCTCTGTTCTCTGGACACCCAAAACCCAAACGCTATGCAACATAAACAAATAATACACAAGAATACACCATATACATATAAATGCACATACAAAAAAAGTAAAAAAGTAAAAAAAAATATGCAGCCCCATGGTAGAACAGTGGTATATCTGCGTCTTGCCCTCCTTCTCCCCCCCGCATCAGTACGGCACAAGCATGTTCCACGCCTGGTGGGCTAGCACCGTGCTGTGTAGCGAGGCCAGCTGCCACCACGGCCACAAAAGTGTGGGCACGAGGGCTTGTCGCTGCGTCTCCGGCTCAGCGCTACCGCTGTTGTCGCGCCAGCCGTGCGTCTGTTCATACGTTTCGTCGTTGTACTCGGCGTCCTCGCCAGAGGTCGTCTGCACAACCAGCGTCTGCCCCGCCTGCAGCATCGTCCACATTTGCGTGGCCATCCAGGCAGCCAGCACCAGACTGGCCAGGCCCAGGAAAAGGCCAACGAGTGCAGCGAGGAAGGAGCCTTGGCCTGGGCCACCAGTACCGTCACCACCACCACCACCACCGCGGCCGCCGCCACGATGGCTTGCACGGCGCCAGCGTGTGACCGACTCGGTCGTGCGCGACAGCGCCAGCACCGCGCAAAGGCCGACTGTGGCCGCCTCCACCAGACGCGCGTACGGCTGGATGTGCTGCACGACCAGGGCGTCGGTGCTCGACACAGAGCCAGAACCAGAAGGAGTGGAGGTTGCGCCGCCACCTGCAATGTCCTGCAAGCAGTAGACAGCGGCCAGCGAGGCCAGTGTCGTCATGAGCGAAGCAGCACGGCCCAGGAAGGCGTGGTGGTCGGTGGGTGTCGACGTCGCGGACGACGCAGGGCGTCGACGATGCAAAGATGCTCTCTGTCGTCCATCCCCGCCGGACGACAACGCTGCGTCGCCTGCGTCACCTGGCCCTTCCTCTGTCGCACCGCCAGCGCCCAATGTAAAGGTCTGGCTAAAGAGGTCGGACAGGTAGCTGCCCGGGTCGTCATTGTCTGCGCCTTCCCGGCCGCCCCGGCCAGCCATGCCTTTGTTCGCATTCTTGGGCACAACGTCTTCTGCGAAAAAGGACGGCTGGGCAAACTCGACCGACGATGAAGCCCCCCTTGTGCCTTGGAAACCAAGATCGAGCGTCCCGCCCCGCCGACCATGGGCGCTGTGACCATGTTGGCTGTTTTGGCCAAAGGGCGCGTCGGCACCGGTACCGGCACCGGCACCGGCTCCATCGCCGCTATCACCCAGCGCCACCTTCTGTACCAGTCTCGGTGCATTGGGCCGGTTGAAAATGCGCTGGGCGATGCTCGTCGGCGCCGGCGGCACCTTGTACCAAAACGGTCCACGGTCTGCCTCGACAGGTGTCTGGCTAAAGGCGCCGGTTGAGGACTGCGATAGACCCTGGCTGAACTGACTGGCGCCAGGTTCGTACGTGTTGAAAGCGCGGTGCGGCGACTGGGCCGGGGTGTGTCCAGGCGACGACGGCTGGGTGGGCGTCCAGTCCATCTCATCGACGTCAGCAGCTGCCTGTCCATATGCCTGCTGCTCTCGCGGCCAAGGCTGCGATGGTGCTGATCCGGGGTCTCCACGGACCCCAGCTTGCCATCCACCGCGGCTGCCGAATCCATTCTGCGAGTGTCCGTGTGGTAAAGCATAGGACTCTTGCGACGGTCGCCAGCCATCCCAGCCGCTCGTGCCGCCGTCACGACGTGCCAACGGACTAGATTGCTGCATCTTTGGCGTCGGCCGCTGGGGTGTCGCCGAGATCTCGTCAAGCACATCCGACAGCGTGTCGAGCCCGCGTCGCCGGTTTTCCGAGACGTGTAGCTGATGTTGTTGTTGCTCTTCAGCGGCCCTGACGCTCGCCCGCTGCGGCGTCAACGGCGTCTCCGGCAGCTTCGCAAAGAGCGGCCGCACGTCTTTGCGGATCGCGCGCGGCGCCACGGTGTAGAGGTACAAGATGAAAAAAGCTGCTACGGCGTGAACGCCGGCGACGGCGGGAGGCAGTGCTGGGGCTTCTGCATTACCGTCCGCCCCACTGCTGAACGGTGCAAGCGATTCCTGGTAGTCGGTCACCTTGGCGAGAAGGAGCCGCACAAGGACAATCGTAGCTTGGTGGACATACCAAGTCGGTATGCCGATCAAGGGTTTCGTGAAGCCGCGGACGGTCTGCACAAAGAACGGGTTCCACCAGCTGCTGGCCAGCGTGGCTGCAATGCACGCTGACCGCAAAAAGCCAGTGTTGTATACGAGTAGACGCAGCAAATGCTCGACGAGGACCACGGCGGGACGGCGACTCGCAGTCTGAGAAGCGGCCGAGTCACCAACAACGGCGTCGCCGTCGAAGCCGAGATCATCTGTGTTGGGGAGCGATGCCACAGGGAGCAAGACGCCCCCTAGGACGCCCGCCTGCCACAACATCTGGAGCAGCAGGCCGGCCCACCACAGCCTCCGCCCCAGCCAGTTGCCAGCGTCGAGCGGCGTCGCACGCGTCAACCGTACCTGCCGGCTGTAGTCGACCATTCGCCGCAAGTGGTCCGTCTTTGCCGTGTAGCCGGCGTCGCGGATGCGGTCAAGCACGCGCGGCTCGCAGTCGGCGCATACTTGAGGATAGCGCTGCTCGAGACCCTGGCGGAACCGAAAGTACTTGCGCTCGAGCTCGGGGGTGTCTGGGTGGTTGGGGTCGGATGGGAAATACTGGGCGAGCGACGAGATGAACAGATGCTGGTTCTTGAGGCAGGTCTTGCAAAAGACGCCGGTCTGGTCTCCATTGCCATGACTGGGCGAGCCATAGCCGCCGCCGTTGCTGCTGGCGCTGCCCGGGCTGCCAAAGCTGTCGTGGAAGGGCCCGGGGCCGGACGCAAAGAAGCGGGAGGTCGTCTCCGCAACGGCCGTCGTGGACGTAGGAGGGTCGGTGATATCGCCGTTCTGCATGGTCAACGTCGACTCTATTTTCTACGAAATATCATTTTGTAAACGGCGTTGCTCACCTCGTCCAGGTAGTTTGTCGCGTCGCAGCTGGAGCAGGTAAACTGGCGCACGCTGCTGTCGTAGACCTTTGACGACCGGCGGCCACAGTAGAAACAGCTCAGGTAGCGAGCTCGCCGGAGTCGCACCATGGCGACCGGCTGTGAAGAGGAAGAGGCAGAGGACGATGTCGATGTCGGATTCCAAGTTGATGAAGACGAGGTCGTTCGGTCTGCAATTGGCGTAGCCCCCGGTGTTCTCCCGCTGCCGACATGTGCAGATATACCATCACCCGCTGTCGAAAGCAGTCGTCAAAACAAAGCAGCAGCGCCGCGCCACAATTCGCGTGGCTGGCGGCGCGTGGTTGGTTGATGCGTCGTCGGTTATTTCTGCCGTGTGCCTTTGTGCCTCTTGTTTCTGGTGGGTGAAGCAACTGCCCTGGAAGGAGCTCCATAGCGAGCAAGAAAGTAAATACTGCCGGGCGGTCAGGCGCTAAGCTCCTGGAAGTGGGTCTCTATCAGACACCGATTCACACCCCTGTATTAGTCGCGTAATAGGCCCTAAACGTGTTGTTCGAAGCTTCACGTTTTGGACATTCGTGACGATTTACCAACTGATACTTTGTTTGCAACAAAGAGGTACCGTCACCACAACTTCCCTCAACCGAGGACAGTAGGTGTCCTGAGCTTGCCTAGAGGAGCTTGTGGTATTAGATTAAGAAAAAAAGCGACGGGCACACCAAGATGGGCGCTCTCGTCCAGGCTCTCCTCATCGGCACTGTTTTGCTCACTGCCATTCTGCTGCTGGCCACGGTACGTTTACGACAGTATGGGCTTGCGTTTTATGTGCGTCCGTCTCTAATGTAGCCTAGGCACGGTACATGGCCGTGGTGCGCAGCAAACGCTCGGCCATGGGCAAGGCGTGGAAGGCCGCTGGCCAAGGCCCTGTGCCCGACGGCGTGCAGCTGCCAGGAACTTATTTTCTGTATGTCCTCGGCTCGGGCGGGCACACGGGCGAGCTATGCGAGATGATAAAGCAGCAGTTCCGGCCGAACCCGCACTGCCACCGCCGCTATATTGTCACGTCGGGCGACCACCACTCAGTCAACGCCGTCGAGCGGCTCGAAGGCTTGATCAGCCGGACGTTTCCCGTGGACGAGAACGGCGTCGCGCCGGGCGGCTCGTGGGACATTGTGCACGTTGTCCGTGCACGTCGGGTACATCAGCCGCTGTATACGACATGGTTATCGGCGCTGCAGAGCGCGCTGTCGATTGTGCAGGCTCTGGTGCGGCCGCCAAAACAACGGCAGCCTACAAACAATTCAAAGAGCGCAAAGAACGCAAAGAACGCAAACGACGCAAACGACGCCTTTACATACCCGAACCTGATTGTTACCAACGGCCCCGGCACGGGTTTTATTGTGTGCTTGGTTGCCGTTGTGCTCAAAATGTTGTATGTCGTCCCGACCAACCGCTGCAGCGTTCTGTTCATCGAGACCTGGGCGCACGTCAGCACACTGAGCCTGACGGGCAAGCTGTTCCACTACAGCCGCCTTGCCGACCTGTTTGTGGTGCAGCACGAGCTATTGGCGGCCAACACGGGCCATCGCTTCATTGGCGACGTCACCAAGTACGGCAACCTGCTCGGCATCCGCAAGTCTCTGGGGCGCAAGAAGGCGTAACGTGTTGGGCGGATCGACTCCAGGTCTTTCACGATTTGACACGACATATACATCCGCCTGAACGGCCATTTGGTTGTAGAAAAGCGACACATAGACCTTTGGACAAAACACGCAATGAAACATTTGATACAATTGATACACTGGTACCTAGTGAGATGGCTAATATACAGAGGCCACAGCCGCAATCTCCATCTCCATTCCATGCGCGTGCCCGTTCCGTCGTCTCTTCTTCCCTTCGCCTGACCCCCAGCCTTTTATTCTTGTATTTGTGCACTGTCCGCGGACTCGGTCGGCGCCGAACCGAACGGCGTCTCCTCACCGAAGGATGTGTACGCCTGGCCGCGTGTCGCCTCCGCCTTCGCTGTCATGCGCTTTGCCCAACTCTTCCAAGACTCGAACACACGGTCCTCTTGCCTCATGTTGTCCACCAGCAGCGAGCCCTTGAAGTAGCCGCCCATCATGCGGGCCTCCTCCATAGCGACGCGGCGCTCAACCTCTTCTCTGTGCCGCAGCGCGTAAAATTCACGCCGTGCCACGTCGTAGGCCTGCTCCTTGGTCATGCCCGAGTTCATCAGCCACATTTGCCGCTGAACGACGCTGTCGAGCAGTTAGTAATGGCCACAACGCGGAGGGGAAAGGGGCTTTGTGGGGTCTCCATGCACAGCCCATCACAAAAGACATACCACTCGCCGCACAGGGCCAGGCCATCCTGGTAGAGTCCCTTGCTCCAATCGTACCGCTGTGCGTCCTTGCCGTCCGACTCCAGCACCACACGCGGCCGCGCCAGCTCCCACGGGTGGTCCTTGAAGAAGGTCTGCCGCAGCTCGTCCTCCTCGTATGTAATCTGTTGTGGCCGGTACGTCCGCCGCGGCTTGCGCAGGCGCGGGTTGGGCGGCTGCAGGGCCACAGGAACGGTGCGCGTGAGCACTTCGGCCGGCGGGATCTTCTCGACGGCCTTGAGCCATGGCGGCGCTACCGGTCTGTGGTTGCTGTTGATTGTGCTCGACAGGTGCTGGTGCACGACGTCGGCGACGCGCAGGGCACGGAATTGCCGACCCATCGTGTCGATGCGTGTGGAGGTGAAGGCGGAGCAGAAAGTGGAGGAGGAGGAAGAGAGGAGGACGACAAAAGAAAAGGCCGCCGGGTTTGGCCAATTAGTGTCGGCAGTGGCTGTGCGAGTCGCTCAGATCGGTCGTCCGGCTCGTCTGGCCCTCGTCAATGGATGCTATGCGTCAGTGTGTCGACGGTGTCGTTGCTGGCAGACAAAGCTGGACGTGGTGGTTTGAGCCAAAGGTAACAGTCGCTAATTTTTTTCGGCAGCTCTCGCCATACCGATTAGATGCATATACTGAGGAAATGCTGCCGTTTGCAGCAATCCGACTTCGAACTCCACTGTAAATTTTGGGCGCGATAAGATAAAGCCCCCAAAATTGACGGTACAGGCACCCCACAGCGCCTAGCAATTAGCTGCAGTGTTGCTTTTTTTTTGCCTCTCACTGTACTTCGTACAGCTGCTGACAACAACGGCAAATCATCTGCACCAACCACACGACATACGACGCGACACAACCGGTCCCGGCTCCCGGCCGCGCACATCCCAGCACAGCTTATATGACGCCGCCATGACGAACAGCCCATGAAGGCCTCACGCCGCATCAACAGGTCCGTCTGTGGCGCCGTCCTCTCGGCCCGGATGCCTCCTCCGGCAACGGCACCTGTTTCCGGCCGGTCGCCGCCATCACGATGCATCCATGAGCAGAGTCGACGGCCGCGGCGGCAAGGACGACCGCGGACGACTACGACGGCGGTTTGGTTCTCCGCCGCGGGCGCCGCAGACCCGGCCTCTGGCACGCTGTTGCCGATGCTGTTCCCTCCGGCCTGGAACGACGCCTCGTGGCAGACACCAACGACGCAGAGGGCCATGCATTTCTATGACTCGGCATTCCGCCGGGCCCAACGGACCACGAGATGCCCGCGTGGCAGCCTGGAGCATAGGCGGTCCGGCCATACGTCCACAGCCGCGGCCAGCCAGCCGCCATCGCGGGAGTTTGACGACATATTCAACGACAACGAGCTCGAGATCAAGAGCGACGGAGCGACGACAGCGCCACGAAATCAGAAAAGCGGCCCTGGAAGCAGGCCGGAACATAGTCGCGACATATACGGGAGGAGGAGAGCTGCAGATATTGAACACAGAGACGAAGAGTTCTACGACATATACGCAGAGGATTATGATGACCGCGATCTGGAGTCTGCCAGGCCCCCGGCGTATGCGCCCACGACGTCGTCCAGGGCAGACCAGCTGTCGTCTCGAGCCTTTGCCGAGGAACCCAAACGGGAAAACAACGCAGACAAGCTTGATACCCGCCACAGCGAAGACCCACAACCCGACGACAGCTACTCAGACGACTACCACTCTGACGACATACAGTCTAGGAAAAAGCCTTCTCACGGCATATACAACACTCATGACACCCACGACATTTACCCTAACGATGACCCCTTCAATGACCCCTTCAAAGACGCCTTCAAAGACGCCTTCCGCGAAGACGCCTTCCGCGAAGACGCAGACTCCGACAGCACTCCCTCCACAAGGAGGTTCAACCCCGACGATATCCAGTACGAGGAATTCGTAACCAGACCCAGCTTCACAGACGATTTTCGCCAGAAAGACTTTCAATCGAGCGCCTTTCACGCCAAAAAACTTGTCGCCCATGGCGTCAATCTTGGCCAGATTCGGCGCGACGACGACATGGACGACGAGCCGGGCACGTTCCCCGAAGAAATCCACTCCAGCCACTTCGACGCCTACGACAGCTACCCCCATCATGGCGAGCCGTACCCGGAGTCAAAGCGCGTCAGCAAGGAGGAGCTGCTCGCGCTCGTCGGCCCGCCCCTCACCGGCGACTCGGCCAACGAGTACTTGGCCCGCTTGAAAGACCCGGATATCCGACGGCACAATGGTTCCGTGGATGATCGCGACTTGCGCGTCGTGGACGACAACGCCAGCACCGAGACGGCCATAACGTGGGACGACGTGCGAAACCTCGACGTTCAAATCCAAGAAGCCGTGCGCGCGCTCGACCACGACGTCGTCATGCGGCTCAAGGACCCAAGCACTGTCCCGGCCGAGCTTGTCTACCAATCGTACCTGCGGCTGCCCGGCATGCGTATGTCGTACGTGCCCGACGAACTGCGCCATGGCCTGCTCCGGTCGCTCAACATGGAGGAGCGCAAAAACGCCAAGTCGATGCTGCGCTTCTTTGCCGTCGTCGCCGACATCAAG